GATTCAAATCAACGACCATCCTTTGAGCAACAGAACATTGCTGCGCATCCTTTTGTCCAAAATAAGCCTTGCTTGGCTTTACTATGTTGAACAATTTGGCAACAACAGTTGCGACACTGAGCAAATATCATTTCCTGATAGAAAACTCAACGAAATGACATACCCTCTGAAAAAATGAGGACGAAAAGCTCCTTCTGACTTGGGATTGGTTCCAGGCAGCCCTATTTTGCACTCCACAAAAGTACAGAAACCTTCAGGATACAAGATCGAGAAAGAATCCGGAGCAAAGACAAAGTCAACCTCGAGTTCTTCGCAGATACGCAAGTCTCCTGGAAGATTTCGGGGATAGGTATCCAAGTCCTCACCGGGTGCAAATTGCGTCGGGTTAACAAATATGGTAACAAACAATATAGAGCATTCCATTCGTGCTCTTCTTATGAGTGCCTAGAATGAAATGAGCGACGGATGAGTAGTCAATCCTCGTCTCAAGAACCTTGTGGCCTTCGTGAAGAAAACCCATAGTAGGTACCAGTCCAATCTCACCTTCCAAACCGGAACGTATTGCTGAAAAAGTATTCAAGTCCTTTATCAACTGCATATGGCTCTTATGCGTCGTTCTGCTGAAGTTACCAAAAAGGCGGTCTCTTGAATTCTTTGAAACTAAATCAGACCATTGAATTTCTTTTACTCATTTTGCCTAATGAAAAGGTGACTCATGATGTTGTTTCTTTAAAGCCAAAGCACCTCAAATGGCCATGTTAACATGACATGATTAGTTTGCAAAGTAGTATGTTTGAGAAGAACTGGTTTCTAATTTAAGATGACGAATATCGCATTCTAAAGGAGTCGAGTGGTGAAATGACCAAAAACCTGGTCTCCAAACATTGTTTAGAGCTCGAAGAATGTTATCCCGACTACGAGAGTTGTATTGGAAATCATTCTTGAAAATTTTTTCAGAGACAATGATAGTGGTATCTGGAGGCTATAAACTAACATATCATTAAGAATGCCACTAAAGTTTAGATCATAAAAATCTTCTTCAGAGGCTATCTTACTTGCTTGAAATTTATCTAAATGTTTACTCAACACTCAGAAGGACTCTCATCTCAATGAGAGATGGTCTTTATGAATCAAATATTCTCATGTTAAAACTCAGGAGTCTTAGGAATCCAACAGCAGATCAAAAATGCCTAACCATCCTAAACTGTACGAATCTGTATGCTAGGTAGCTTACGAGATTTTCTACAAGGAATAATAGAATAATTTGTCCCGCAAGTATCACGTGGATGCTGTATCATTATCCGATGAGAAGGAGGTATGATTGAGCTTTCCTTAAAAATACGCATATCGATCGTTGACTCAACATGATGTGAAAATAAGTATTTATCGCAAAATGAAAGGTCAGAACTTATCTGCCTCGTAAAGTTGAATCCAGGTTGATGCATAAAATATGTTAGGTATCCTTGCTGTGAATCGATGCAGGTCCTATCATCAAAAATGCTAATATTTAAAAACCTCGACAAGAATCCAAAATTCCATGCCATAGAAACTTCCTCATCGAACAACAGAAATTCCCGGTTTTTTACCAGAAAACGTAAGAGATCAGTAGAGAACAACAGAAAGCTTTCATCTGGATAACTTCGATCCTGCTTGCACCAATATTTTCCCCAAAAAAATTTGTTCCTCTTTTCACTCAACAAGTGCTGCAACTTTTGAATACAAAGAAGTACATCGTCATCTGTCTTCAAGTAAAAATCAAACTCGTAGTGGCCTAAAGCCCAGGCGGCTTGATAGAGAAACCTTGCTCCTTGCATTACTTGTCTACCTTGAGGAAACGGTTGAAATTCGATATCACGTAAAGTTTGACGTTCCACGTTCAGAGAAACAGACTGTTCCCTGTTGGCCGTATTCAGTTCCGTAAAAAATCGATATGCAACGGTGGGGCATCTCCAAGAAAGCCAACTCCTTCTACAGGCATCTCTCCTATTCCTATTTTCTGGAGCGCTTCCTATTGCTATAAAAATGAACTTTTTGGGGCGGGAAAGCAAAGAGATATTCCATAAAAGCAACACCAAAATTACCCAAATAGAATAATGCCAGTGGCGCATAATTCCTGTTTTGGCGCCTTGCAACTTTTTTTTTTGGCACATTTTGACTCACTTGGTATTGTGGTTTGGAAACTAATAAGAATCTTATCGACTTTATAAATAATTGACGCCCATCGTATAATAAAGTAACAATAAAGATAATATTATAGAATATAAAACCAACCGTACTTCTAAAAGTAGTTGCGAAAGCTTTCAATAGGTCGTTCTATGTCGAAAATAAATAGCTTGTTTTCACACATACATTGCAACTCGGAAGTGACATTTCTAGGAAGTACCTTTGAAACGAAAAAGTCTAAAAGGAATGTAGTAAGGTTTCATCTGTATCGCTACAAAGTTATTCTCTTATTTGGACATTGTTGATGGCGAAATTGCAGATAGTTCTCAAACTTCAAATGTTTCTCAACGTGGGTTAATTATAGTATTAGAAGAAAAAGGAATAGCAAGAATTTCAATTAGTTGAAGCTTATATGTCAGAGTTTAAGCCTTACCTTGAAATGACAAATGTAGGCAAAATAGTCATATACATTTTTACTGGATTTCTTCTGAATTCATAGTAAACCTAGAATTCTTGGCGAAATGGGGAAGATGTTTCAAAAAGGACCGCTTGAAGGGGGATTTTGAAGCAGTCGCTTTCTGATTGTAGAGAAAGTGGATCTTTAAGGTTGCAAGAATGGAAGCTAGTGGCTCAAAATCTAATGCGGTTTATTCTGAAAGAGAAGAAGAGGAACGTTCTGGTTCGAAATTATTGGCGCCTTCCACCAATCATTCCAAAGGTTCACCTCACTCCGAGAAAGCAAGGTATGCACCTTTCTTTACGTTTATTTCTAGTGCAAAAAAAACTCTCGGGTCAAAACTGGAATATGCGAAAGACTTGGTGAAAAAGGACGGAGACCTAGTTGCTGAAGGTGAAGACTTGTCTGGTTCTCCTCAAAGGAATACCGCCAAATTTGACGTTGCTTCTTGTCAGATCAGACGCTCCAAGTCAGTAGAAGGATTTCCTTTATGGTCAGATTCCTTCAAGCTCTTGAGACAGTTTCGGATTACTGGAGGTCATCCTCTATATGCGTTTTGTCAACGTAACACGGGAAATATATTCTTCATCACTTCCAAAACTATCGAAACCTTTGACAGTTATTGCAACAAGATCCTTGATATTCGTTTACCTGTTGCTTGGGAAGATCCTTCGATAGTTGCGGAGAGTGCTGACGATGTCAAAGCGCCCAAAAGATTTACACATGTTGGTGGTATTGGTGGTCCTCAGGTTATACCAGCTATCACGGCGTGCTATATCGAACATTTAGACGAAGTTGTTGTTGCACATGAGGACGGCTCACTTCGTTCATATTGCTGTAGTAGTGGCAGCATGGGTGTGGAGAGTAGAAACTCTTGTCTTGCGACTTTTAGGTCAAAAGACAGTTCACGTAGTTCTGTAGAAAAGAGAAGTCAACTACCAAGTTCTCAACGAAGTGTCTCTATCAGTTTTTATAAGGATTTTCTCATCAGTGGTTGTGCTGATGGTTGCATTAGAATTTGGCATTTTGATGCTGTCGAAGACGCAGAGGGAAAGGCAATGGATACCATTCTTCTTACTGAAACATATGAACCGAGTTTAGGAAACCTTCCTTTAATGTTGAAGCCAACCATAACAGCCGTTTCGGTCGCTTCTCTTCCGAATGAAATGTTGTCATCAGATGGCTTACATGATGCAGCTGTTGCTGTTTTCTATGCCAATGCAGAAGGTTACTCCGGAGGCTATCAACGTCACTCGACAGTGGACTTCACCATGTGTTGCAGCACACTCAGGACCTGTTACTGGCCTAGCCACTTTATTGGATGGCCTGATTTTGTTGAGTGTTGGGCGTGATAGTATGCTATCAGTGACGGAAACCATTAGTGGACGTTGTATGGCAAGAAAACGTTTACATTATGTTCCCACCGTTTTGTTTCATTTGAAGGATATAGATATTTCATCAGAAGATGATGTGGTGAAAAGGCAAGATTTGCATTTTCTAGTGGGGGGTTCGGAAGGCCAGGTTGACCTTTATCGTCTTGTGGTAATGTCACTTTCAAGACTAGAGTTTCAACTTGTTCGAAAACTTCATGAGCGCTCCAAAAATAGACGAGCGGCAGTAAGCAGTATAGTTGCGGATCTTGATGCATTATTGATCATAGCAACTTTTTCCGATAAAATTGTTCGAATGTGGAGAATCACTGAGATAGACAGTGCTATGCTTCGTATGCAAGCCCCGCCAGAAACATCAAATCCTGCTGTCGCGTGCTTTGAAGGTCCTCAATCGTGCTTTACTAGAGACAATGTTGTTTCTATTTTGGAACTCATTCCTTTCCGTACTCGCCTAGCTTTGTACGATGGATTGATTGAGGTATGTTTATCCGCTTATATAGACAAAGGAAGAACACCTTACAACGCTATTATTTCAAGGCTCAGAGAGTTTTGGCTTTAGCTTTACAGGATTCTGTTGGGTTGTCAGAACAAGCAAAGGACAGTGTTGTGTCTGATTTCGAACGTATCCAAACGCACTTTCAACAACGAGCAGAAAGATTGGACAGCGAGCTACAAATAAAGCTGGAGAGAACTCGCCATCGCTACTATCACTGTTTAATAGAGGATAACTCGAAGGAAGAAGGTTTGTTTGATTTTCATGACGTAGAAAAACGGAAGTTGTTCTGTTCGGTATTATCCAACACCGGAAAGGAACTTGCTGCTTTTGAAGTGAACTGGGCTCTGTCCAAACATCATCTTTACCTTGAAGGTCTCTGTCGAGAACTATCTCTTCAGCTTCGTGCTAGTCTCGTGAATATTTTGCAAAAGGCTAACACTCAAGGGGCAAAGGAGGTCTTGGAGAATTTTCCTTCCCTTGGGATTTCGGAGTAATAGAAATTTCAAATATATATAGTTCTGATAAGCTTATTATTTGTGAAATTGGTTACTTGTGACTTGAAAGTAAAAATGAGATATAAAAAACAAGAAACTACGACATTGGATCCACAGACTATTTGGGAGATCTGAAATCAATCGAACAAGAATGTTGTACCGAGTCCAACTGTGTTTGTTAAGTTAGGAGACTGGGTAGTGGAAAGTTTTCTGAGAGGTTTTGGTTTTCGAAACCCTTCTTTCCATGCAAGCAAAAAGTCATTTACCATCTGTAGACTCTGGCAGACCTTTTCATAACTTGCAAATGTTCTTGACTAGTTACGAACCGTCTTCAATATATTCTCAGTTTCCGGGGGCTCCACAAAGTACCCATGAGGTTCCTAATCAACTTATTTTGCCTCCCTTCCCTGAATTACGACATCTTGACGTGATGCGTCAGCTAGAGAAGAGTCCTGAGAAGACTATTCCTTTTGAAAATTATCAAGAACCACCAGTTTATGTGAACGCCAAGCAATATCATCGCATCCTAAAGAGAAGAGAAGCGCGAAAGAGACAACTTGGAAAAGAAGCGTTTATAGAAAGAAAAGTTAAACGGCCGTATCGCCATGAATCTCGCCATCGACACGCCAAGAACCGGCAGAGAGGCACGGGTGGAAGATTTCTAAGCAAGTCGGAAATGGAAACGGCAAGCTTACAACAGAGTGATGAAGGAAGTTCTCAATGCTTTGAGAGACAAGCTGAACGTTTGTCAGTTTCGTGTGAATGATTATTTTATTTCTGGTGAACGTGTTTCCTCCTCTTTTTTGTATGAACAGTCTAACATAAATTGGCAAGTGTTAATACGAGAAACAGTGTCTAGTTACTAGTGTCACACACAGTTGCCTTTTTTGTGGCTTTGGGACCTACGAATTCAAGAACAAGTTGCACTTTTGAAAAACCATCAAGTTTGTGATATCCAGTCACTTGCCCTTGAATATATGTGCCATGGAAACTAACAAGGACGGTTCAACAGTCTCACCGTAACTTATACCCCTACCAAAACAATGTGACTATTACAGGTCTTCATGAGCTAACAATACAACAACAAACTTGAATGGATCAACTCTTCATTGAAAGAAAAAGAATTCTTGACAAACATTCAGTGATTGGTTCACTTGTGAATGCAGTCGCAGCCAGTCTTTTGTGTATGGAAATATACAAGTGGAATGTTTCCTAGACATAGGTTTTCTTCACAGGCAGCAAACCCCGTCAAGAAAAAAACCAAAGAGTCCAATCTACCTACTTCCAAGCCAGTATTTGACTACTGGATACCACCTCCTAATCTGAAGTACCCCGTGCGTGCGGTAGATCCCTCGAAGGTAACTCCAAGTGGTTGGGTTCCACCACAAGGGGGTTATGAAAATCTTCCTTTTAGAGTATGTTGAATTCTAGAAAATCTTTTGTACAACTGCAAATGAGTTTTAGTTTTATCGTTCCTCGGCAGGAAACAACCTACCTGTATATTTAGAACGAAAGCGGAAAACAATTACCGCAGTTCGAAGATTTCGTGGAGATCAGGAGGTGAGAGTGAGTGACAAGGGCTATTTAGCGATACTAACTTGTATTTGAAAGGCAATTGCGGAAGAACTTCGGAAGATTTGTCCAGGGTCGGAAGTATATCATTGTGCTGGTAGTGTGGCTGTTGTGGGAGACCATCGAGCAGCTATTCAAGCCTGGCTGCTTGGTTTAGGATTTTAGAAAATTTCTTTAGAATACTATAATCATTTTGATGTATAAAATGGATTTCAATAGTTGCTTCATTAGTATTATGGACATGATTTCCTCAAGATTCGAATCAAAGAAATTTCCAATGGAGTCGTCGGAAAGTGACTCGAACAGAAGTTCACGAAGCTCCCGACAGAAAACTTCCAAAGATGAAGTAGTGGGAGGAATACCCACTGAAGAAGAGTTTCAAAAGTTTGTTCGTCCTTCGATGGACATTCATAAGGACATGGGTTCTTTACGAGTTCACTTTAAGAAGACAGAACCTAGACCCAAGTTTGTGAAACACTATATTTTGGGTCAGAAACTAGGAGAAGGTGCATACTCTAAAGTGAAAGAAGGTATTGATAGTCAAACTCTGCGCATCGTAGCAGTGAAAATTATAGACAAGCGTTTCCTTAAAAAGGTTGGTCTTCGTTTCTTTAATAGACCAAAGTAACTCTGCTGTTGCGACCAGGTTCGAGGAGGCATGGAAAATGTAAAGCGAGAAATTTGTGAGCATTTGTTTCCTTTTTGGTATTCCGAATACTTATAAGACGCTCTCTTTAGCCATATTGAAACAGCTTAAGGGACATAAAAATATCATAGAACTTATCGAAGTCATTGATGAACCCAATGCACCCAAATTATATATTGTTATGGAATTAGCCAACGGTTGTAGTCTTCAACAGCTTACAGAATCGGCCCCAAACAATCGATTACCTCACCACCAGGCGAGATATTATTTCCGACAATTGGTAGAAGGTTTAGAATTTATGCACAGTAGAAATGTGGTTCATCGTGATATTAAACCTTCCAACTTGATGCTGACAACAAAAGGAGAAATCAAAATATCCGACTTTGGAGTTGCAGAATTTCTCGATCGTTATGCAGAACTTGATTTAGTTACGCGTTCGACAGTAAGTGATGGTGCTAAAATATCGTTTGGTCACCAATCTCTTTAGGGGTCTCCTGCTTTTCAAGCACCAGAAATTGCCAAAGGAGAAAGTGACTTTTCTGGTAGAAAAGTAGATATATGGGCTGCTGGGGTTACTTTGTTTTATTGTTTGACTGGACGTCTACCTTTTGATGGAAACAACTTGTTTGAGCTATTTGAGAAGATTGGAAAAGGCGAGTTCGAAATTCCTTCCTTTGTAGAAGAAAGCGCGAAGGATCTGTTGTTACATGTTCTGGACCCTGTTCAACAGAGAAGATATTCTCTTGAGGAAGTGAAAAGGCATCCTTTTGTCAGTGAAATGGACGATGTAGATTCTTACGTAAGAATTCAGCCAATTTTATCATTAATTTGTAATATTCTCTACATAGAGCACCTTTGTTCCCATACCTGCCAGAAAACCTCAAGTTTTGAACCTTGTTGCCCGCCTTTTTGGTATGCGTTTCTTAACATGTTGATTGTGTTTCCATTGAATGTGTTATAGAAGAAGATGCAGTGGCTGGAGAAGGTTTTCTGAATAAAGAAGAAGAAGAAGAAGATGATGATGATGATGATGAGGAACCAACGGAAAATCGAGAGACAGCAAACTGGCGTTGTTCTATTATTTGATTGTTGTAATAAAAATGGTTGTGGTAGGAATAATGATTAGGAGAAACCTCACTCTATTACCAAGAATGATTTGAAAATACGATCAAATTGTATGGGAAATTGTCGAAATTATAAATATATTGATAGATAACAGCTGAGGGATGGAAGGAAAATTTTCTATTTGAAATACGTGAATAAACGAATCATCCGTAAATACGATAATGGTAGACTTTTCAACTCGTCTTTAACATATTTGGAGTCAAATATTACGTGAATTCCAGTTTCGATACTTACCAACGTTGAAAAGGACGCTTCAAGTGGATTGGAATTTGTCATTCTCTTTAGACGACAGGGACATTTGGCTCAGACCATTCCTCTCTTTTTTTTTCTCTCCCTCCTTTCTTATATGGCTACGTCACCTTTTAAGGAAAGACGTCCAAAACCCTTGCGTCTTTCTTCCAGCTCTCCAGTAAGAGGAGAAACAGCCGATACTTTTGCTTGTCAAAGAGACTGTCTCTTGCCGACTGGGCGGAAGACTCACAGAGAATATCTAAGAAAGAATACAAAGGTTGCCATTCGTGCTACTGCAGGATATTTTTTGCTCTCTTTGTTGGTGTTCATTCCAACTTTGGCTGAAAGATTTCCTTATTCATCTCTTATAGCTGTAGATTATATTATAATAGTAACTTTTGGAGTTGAAGAACTCGAGTTCGGTTTTGTTTCGGAAGGTGCAGTTCTTAGCAGTTTTGCTCAACTTTTCGGTTCCTTACTGGGCGCGTTAGGGGCCATATTGACTCAGACTAACAGTGCTCTTACTTTATTCACCATTTTCTTGGGAACTGCCTTATTTACCTCTTTACGTGGCGACAACAGACTCGATATGATCACCAGCACAGGAGAGCTTAACTTTGTGTTTAACTTGTTAGGCAGCAGAACTGGTGGCACAAGAGCAATCTGGCTAGTATTTTGTAATACGATGCTAGCAGCTTTAGTGGCACATGGAGCTTCTATACTGGTTTCCATACTGTGCTTTCCTCGTTTGGCCAAAGATGAGTTACGAGTCTGCATCAAAGAATCCTTACTAGAATTGGGTGCTTCTTTATCTGCTATAAGCTCCGTTTTAGTGGAGCCTTATATCGAGGAACATATCGATTTTGGAGATTCTGGCTGGAAAAACGGTATCCAACATAATCCTTCATTTCTGCTTTCGTGTGTCAATGGCAAGAGATTGGAATTCTCTCGACAACAAATCTCCAGAGCCAAAAAGATGTCACAGTATCTTCCTTATGAACCAAACTTATTCTGGTTGCTGAGATGTGAACCGCAAGAGGAATGGAATCTGGTCATAAGCAAGTTGGAAGACCTATTGGACGAAGTGGGTGCACTTCATTCTGTACTTCACAATGAAAGAAGAAGATATTTTGGTGACCTTTTGGAACATTGGCCTTCTATCGTGATGGATTTGAAGTATTCTTTTGCTCAAGTTGCATCCGAATGCTATCGAATTGGTGACTTTTTGTACCGACTGAAGCCTTCTTCGTCATTTGAGATAAGACAGAAAGAGATGACTGTAAATAATTCTGTCGATGGCAAACGCATTCAAGTTATAAGAGAACGCGCTAAGATTGAATATTTACAATTTTTGAAAGGATATAGTGATACATTTTCGTTTCCCAGCACTTTAGAAATGGGACCGTTCATGTTCGTTCTCGTAATGGCTGACTCTATTAGAAAGAAAGTTGACATTCTTAATGAAAATGCTCAAATTCTGTACGAACAAAGAAAGCTTCGTTCATTTTTTAGAGGTAAGTTGTTGATGAGTAGAGTTCTGAGTGACATCAAACAACATGATTAGGTTCCCGAAACTTTCTTGGATGGGCAAGAATACTAACATTTCCTTTTGAACGATGGACTTTTGTACTGAAGAGTATTCCTCTTGATTTCGATTCTTTTCTTCAACTTTGGGATAGCGCTGAGTTTAGATTTTGTTTAAAGAAATGGATAGGGGAAATGTTAATATTGGTGTTAGTCTATTATGGTTGGTTGCCGAGGTTTCTTTCTCGTTGGAATGGCTTGTTAATATGGATGGCTTTTGTGTTGTATATACAACCGACTTTGGAAGGAACTTTGGTTGGTGCTTTAGCTAACTTGCTTGGGGTTTTCTTTGGTGCTTTGATTGGTGGGCTTTTAATGAGTTTTCCTTTGATTGCCATGAGTGCCTTATTATTAGATATATATCTGATGATATCCACTTTTGTCGCTGTATATTTTATCAATTCTACTTATTCGCTTACAATTCTCAACACCATCATTACTCAGTATGTTGTCGTATTAGGCCAATATAATCCATTGGAATATGAAGCACATTGGTATGTACCTATAGGAAGATGTATTATGATGTCCATTGGAACTCTCGCTGCTGTCTTTGAAAATGAATATTTATGGCCCAGTTCTATTATTCTTCAAGTTCGTTGTAGTTTGGCATCCTGTCTTAGGGAAATGTCAAGTATCCATTCTCAGTTATTAAATGTTGCCTTTCGAACATCACTAGAAGGAGAAAGAAAACGAAAAACATCGACTTGTCATCGTCCCAATAAGGGATATCAAACAATTCCACAAGATGAAGAGGTTGGTTAGATTTCCTTGCTCGGAAAAATTTCGGAAATAATGTGGTTGAGTAGAATAGGTATGAAGAGGAAGTTTCTCCATCGGAAAAAATTTTGATGGATACCAAAAGAATCGGTCAGCAACTGGAACAAGTGCAATTCTGGCTTGATATTGTTTCAGGTGGTTTTGGAGGAGAAATTTATGGTGTTCCTTCTACTCTTAGAACAATGTTAGCAGCCGAAAAAATGTTGCGGCAAAGATTGGTTGCGTTTGCTAGTCTTTTATCGTTTGATCCAGAGTTTATTGACTTGTATTGGCGTTCTGTACATGAGCGTTTCTTCAAATTATCATCTAGAGAAGCTCAGCTTTTAAGGGAAGCTAGACATTCCTTGGTTCATGTCATCGTATCATGCATATTGGCTGACGCTACAAGCATTACTCCAACTCAAGATACCGTTGCAGACAAGGACAAACATAGAGACGCTTGGACATCTTTGGGAATCAGTAGAAATTTGGAGAATAAATTGAAGCAAGAACCTTTCACCGAGCTACATTTGGAGCCAAAACATGTCGATTTCGTGCGACAAGTGAGTAAGCGAATCATGTTAAGAAGTTCTCCAGTCACTACACCAGTCAGTGCCCCAAGTATGAGACGCCACACATTGAACCGTTCTGTTTCTTATTCTACAAAAAGTGGAGGATTGGCGATACAGTCTGTACTCCCAGAGTGGGTCAAAAAAGCCAAAGGCTCTGAAGCATCTTCCATGTTCACAGTTGCAGAAGATAATGCACTCTCCTATAATGCACCGTTTGTAACAAATTCCTCGGAATTGGTAGCCGCTTCACCAAATGGGACAAGTGAAGAAGAGGATGAGATGGAAGACGAACTAACCTTCACAAAACAAATGGGAATGGTTTGGGAAGCAAGTAGCAGCGAAATGATTGGTAAAGCAGATTTCATGCATTCTTCGGAATTGTCCAAAAGAGGGGAAACATCTTCACCATCATACCTACAGAGTCGTTGGAACGTCCTCAACATTTTTCGAAAGTATTTCCGCACCGATTGGAAGGCTTTTAAGGGTGTCGGCGAAGCAGTTATCAAGACAGTTCAGTCATTGCCACTTGTTAGTGTTCTTGGAACGACATCCGCTGCAGCATTTGAAGAAGAGCCTGTCATTGTCACCAATCTAGAAAGACAGATTGACTTGTTTAGGGAAGCGCAAGGAAGATTCTTCCTCAAACACATAGAGTTAGAAGTGGATTTTTATCGAAAGTTAGTATTACAATCATTCGAAAAGGCTTCGCATGCTGTTTCTTCGGATGACAGGGTACTTTACAACCTTTATGAGATATATAGTGGGCCATCATTTACAGAGAAACACATATTCTTCCTTTCCATCATGTTTATAGCATCTTACACGGCAGATGGTTTGAAGGAAGTAGCAAAGGAGTTGTTGGCGTCGCTGGAGCAGGAACTTTTGCATTTGAAAAAACAAGTTGACGATATGGCTGCGTCTGCCTAATCTCAATCAATCCATCCAATTGCGGGATATTGCGGACCCTCAAGGAGACCCCGCCTCACCAAATTTGGCGGGTTTTCAACAACAGATGGGAGGGCTCTGTATCGCCCGCTTCTGATTGGTTATTTCTTTAGAGGATTTCCTATTGAATTCAACAAGAAGACCAAGATTCTGATGACTCGGTAGACATTGCTTCGTTATTTCCCCACTGTTGCGATGAAAGGGTGGTTTGATGATCCGTACAAACAGCAACTGTTGGAACAAAGAATAGCTCCATCACATGGTGCGAAAAAGAGAAAGCCAGCCGAGCAAACCGATGCGATGCTTAGGAACAATCGTTTGGCAACCTCCGAAAACAACCGACGCAATAGATCGTTTTCATCTTGTCCTTTCAACGAAGTAGCATGCAACAAAGACAGCAACGGCTCCTATAAACAGCAACCATCACGGAGCAAGGAATCAGACTCTAACTCATCTTGTGATATTCAAATGTATTTTAAGCCATTTCAAGAAAACTTGCAAAGAGACAGTACATCACCCGTGACGCCTAACCATGAAGAAGAATCGTGGAGTTTTTCATCAATGTGGGTATTTACGACATCTTGATTTTGTCCTTGTCGCTGAAGCAATGTTAGAGAAAACGATGAACACCAACTCGTTACTAGAAAGATCGACGAGGATCATGAACGACAACAGACATCACTCGTTGTAGCTGAATTGATAAACGAAATCCAACAGTATAAGCAATGTATGAAAGAAAAAGATAACAAGATAAGTCAATTGGAGACGTATTTGTCTCGTTCGAAAGACTTTATACGTCAACTGATTTTAGAAAGCGAAACAAAGAAAAGAATCGAGTCAAAAAAGTGGTTGGATGAACAAAGCATGAGGTTGGGAAGGCTCATGTTGACTCGACAAGGAACAGGAATAAAAGAATATTGGGAACCGGGTTCTTGTTTTCGTGAAACAGAAAGAAGATTGGAAGCTTTGAGGGAACGTATGGAAGTCCTTGATGCGGAATTTATAGAAAACGGAGACAATGAAAACTCCAATAGCTCTTCTTGTAGGTTTATTGGACAAGAAAACGAAGCAATTTTAGCACGTAGAAGAAGTATACTACTAGAAGAAGAAAAGCAGTTGCTTCTTGAGCGGCGAACTCTTGAAAATGAAAGACTTTCAATGATGCAGGAACTACGGCGGCAGCGTGAAGAATCTGCGTCCCGGTTCTCCAACTTCATCGTTTTGAGTCACCAGTATTTATTGGTGAAGCTTGTCGGAAAGGGTGGTTTTAGTGAGGTAAGAACCTCGAAAAGAGAGTAGCTGGAGGATTCAATCTTTTTAGGTTTTCAAAGCGTTCGACCTTAATGAATTCCGTTGGGTTGCTTGTAAGATTCATCAACTTAACCACTATTGGACAGAAGAACAAAAGTCAAATTACATTCGACACACAACGAGAGAATATGAAATTCACAAAACGCTAGAGCATCCTAGAGTTGTCAAACTCTATGACGTGTTCGAAATAGATGAAAACTCTTTTTGTACAGTACTGGAATATTGTGATGGTTCCGATCTGGATACATATCTCAAAGCCAAAGGATCATTAGAGGAGAATGAAGCAAAACTAATCATCTGTCAGGTGCTCAGTGGTCTATTGTATCTGAACAACCAGCCGAAGAAAATTATTCATTATGATTTGAAACCTGCGAACATTCTGTTTAAAGATGGAAAAGTCCGAATCGCGGACTTTGGACTTTGTAAGGTGATCGACGCAGTGGGAGATCGCAACGAAACTACCGAACTAACATCTCAAGGAGCTGGAACCTACTGGTATCTCCCACCAGAGTGCTTTGCTAGTGACGATGATGTGCCCCAGATTTGTCCAAAAGTGGATATTTGGTCCGTTGGAGTGATTCTTTATCAAATGCTTTACGGAAAGAAGCCTTTTGGTCATGGTCTCTCACAACAACAGTTGGTGCAACAAGGCCTCGTTCATGGATGTCCTTTGGTATTCCCTGATCATCCAAACATTTCTGAACAAGGCAAAAACTTTATTCGTAGATGCCTTACTTGTAGAGTTGACCTTCGTCTAGATGTACACCAAGCAGCGTTTCATGAATACCTACGAAGTTGATTGTATCATAGCATTGCAAGGGATCCAAATAAAATGTAGCGTATCGTATTTATCAGCAAATTCAATCAACATATTTATTTCAATATGATCATGATTTCCTGTGAGAATACTCGGATCAGTGAAAATGTACTCTCTATGCACTCAATTGATGGTAGAAGAGATGCTCAGTAAATGTGTTTAACAGTGGTGTCATTTTGTTCTCTGGACAATTGAAAAATATTCAGTGGACATTTTCGGCGCAATCAGGAAAAAGAAAGCTAAAAATACTGAATCAGTGAGATGAATTGTTTAGGCCCTTCACTATGAAAACCAAATGATGCATATAATTTGCTGAGTTCACGAACGAACAAAAAACTAAATAAAGTGGCTGTTTTCAAAATAAACAGAAAAAATTTTCTTTAAAAAAAATCGAGAGAGTATACTTTAAGGTCATCATTTTACAAAACTTTAGACATATCCATGTCCAGATCTTCATAGAAACAGAAACTTATTTATAACAGCAATTCTTTAATTTGCATCAAAACTTTCTACAAGCGTTGGAAAAAACTGTTTCTCAAATTCGCCGCAAATAGAAAGTAAAAAATTTTAGAAAAAACATGTTTTAATATGTAAAAAAATTATTTCCTAAGCAAATTTTAAATGCTTTCAATAGCCGCAATTAAAATTAAGAAAGTTTTAATGGCTTTTGTCCAAATTCATTAAGCCAATTTTTATTTTAATGAGAATAAAATTATTTACGATTTGACCCCAGTGATTTAAAATTCAATTGTTTAGAAACCTGTAGAATTAATCTCTTTTTTCACTGTGTGCGTGTGGAATATGCATTTACGATACATTTATTTTAGAAAATTTCCGCAATTTGATTTAACTCCCACTCCCCTTGTGAACGTCAGAGAAACACTTGCATTTGCTTAAGTTATGGAAATCCAACTTAATCTTATAGAGCTTTCTCAAAAATTGTATTTACACTTCACGACACTGAAAAAAATCCCTAAATCTGTCATGCATGCACTGTACATGAAAACAACTACCTTAGTTTCAGAGCCCACAAAATAATTAACACAAGCACAATATTGCTATCAAAGACGATTGCTCATAAGCCACTGATATATTTTATCCCGAATCAATGATGCGTCTTCATAACGCTCTTCTCTAATTGCTTTACTAAATTCTTCTTGGAACTGCTGTACTGGATCGGCTATTTTCATCTTTTCTCTTACCGACTTCAAAAGATTTTCATTTGTGATCCTTCCAGCAAGATCTTCCAAGGAACGAAGTTTGAGAGCTTCCTCAGAAGGCTCCAATCCTTTGAGCGCGACAGAGTTAAAGCTATCTGCATTTTTCCAAGAAGAAAAGTTGGTCTTTTTTGGTGAAAAATTTCGAAGAATGCCTTCATTAAGCTCTCTCTTGATCTGCTCTAGAGAAATTCCTGCAGAATTGACAAGTCTTTCATTCAAATAAAGAGGAGCATGGAATCTAAGTGCTAACGCTACTGCGTCCGAAGGTCGAGCATCCAATGAAATTTCATATCCTGCCATAGTCCATACCCAGATACGGGCACAGAAGGCACGTTGGGTCAAATGGGTAATCGCTACTTTTGAAATAAAGGAACCTATCAACTTTAAAGTAACGCTTATAAAATCGTGTGTCAAGGGTCTTGAAGAAAACGAGGAGGATGACGCCTCCGCAATAGCGTGAGCCTCAAATTCACCTACAAAGACAGCTAGAAAGCGAAAAGGATTCGACACGGGATGTAAAAGCACTGCATATCCCGAATCACAAGCTCCAACGGAAAAGATACGGGCCAGTGAATAGTCAGCATCCTCTTCTACTCTCCAACCTCCCGAAACATCTGGTGCTCGGTTTTCCTTCTGACACTTTATTGTCGACACTTTACGACGATTGTAATTACTCAAATGAAAACGTTTATTGCTGCAAATAAAAGTATTTCCACGTTGGTACAAAGCTTTTGGTACACAACATCCGTTGCCAATAAAGCCAGAAATCATCCAAGACATTGCCCGCACCTGCATAAAATTTACGAACCCTCCCCTCAAAACAACTCCCCCATCGCCGAATTTTGCACAGCTCACATAAATTACGCT